TCGAACAATAAGGGCTTACAAAAATGGAGAACCGCTTCTCAAAGGCGTGAAGCCTGCTTAAATTCGCCTAGGATTATCCCTGCAGACGGTTCCCGTCAGCTCGATGGTTGAGTGTGGCTAAATCCCCAAGATGGTGAAAAAAAGGCGCCGTCAAAAAAAAAAAGGTGGGCCGCAGAATCCCTACGCCAGAGCACGGGAAATAGCACAAACTTGACAAAAGTTTTTACAGAATAAGAATGAACCAATTTGGGTTTTTAAATGCTATTTGTTAATCAGCTAACTCACTTAGTACCGCAAAGCATCAGGGAGACAGGGTCGGGCTGGCACACTTAGAATTTTTCGGATCATAGTCTTATGCATGACTAGAAAACTTGCTTATACGCTCTGAGAAAAAAGTCCCAACTTAAAGGGCAGCCGGTATGTATCAAAGACTTAAGTGACATACTCTTGAATTATCCAGGAACTTCGAATCTCTCCCCACTAGGATAGAAAATATTCTATATAACCACCTCCCCGTCCTTGATTCTAAACAGCATTTCACATTTTATCATCTGCCAGCAGTGTCGCAACTTCTGCCCCTAGCAGGGGTAATGGTATTCTTTCTCTATCATACACTACGTATACATTTTCCTTTTGTTGACATATCGAGCTACCTCTCTGAACCACAAAGAACATCAGACACTCACATTTAAATAAGCAAGTACCACTTCACCAGCAATAAAACGTACCAAGCCATGACCAGATGCCTTCATGGTATCTCTACTCGTCGGCTTTACGCCACGCCCCCTAGAATGAAGATATGAAAACGATAGTAATCCCACGGTAATAAATATATTCTCGTTTTATTTGTTTAAACAACGAAGCGCAGTCGTACTCGTATAACCCCAGCGCCATTATTATATTTTCCACATTTACGGAACATTCGCTCTTATTTCTTTCTGCGTTTAATAATCATAATTCCACGGGGGCTACCTACCAGATGACCTGTGAACTACACCAACATGGCCGCCGACCAAGAGCGCGGTTCTCAGAAATGTTGGTATGTGCACAAATGTTGTCAGACTTGATCTTGACAGTGTGATAGTTTATTGTTTATATACGTATGATGACTTGATTTGGATTGTTGCTAGCGTACGAGGTGTAATGGTGAAGTTCTGAACTGGTACAGGTATCAAGATGTCAAACATGGTTAAAGTTTAAACAACTACTACAGTGACTGACAAGGGACGGTATAAGAACCTTGTACACAATAAGATCGAGAAGTATATAGCAACTGAGGAGAGTATTGTTTCCAGACTCATACACAAAAAGCAGAAACCATGTCGAAAATGGCTATCAGTGAACAAAAATGACACCGTTTAATAACAGTACTTCTAGAGGACTGTGTAGCCAGATCTGTTACGTTCTCGAGCTGCCAGCACATTCGCTCGAAGGCTCTCGGGTTTGAACTCCGACCTTGAACGCTACATTTCGAGTCATGGATGTTGTGTTTGTCTCTATATTTACGTACTAGACCATTGTGAGATCAAATAGCTACATTGCATCGCCGTAGCTGGTTTATTGAATAATCATTAATTTACCTATAGATAAGCATCTATGTAGGTTGGTGAGAATCACATTAATCATTTTTCATATCTATTTATGAAAATTACACTTGAGTATTGACTTATTACGTTATGACGTTAGTTCCAATTTTATGTCATTTGTACGTATTATGTATTTGTTACTCTGGATTTGGAATAAATATCACTATTATTATTTACATTTCACGTTTCAATTTTGCGTGCTTTAGTGATTTTAAGATCACGGCACGGCACATTAAATACCTGAGAAAATCGGAGTTCCCTTTTTAAATCCAAACTATAAATCAACCATTGTGAAAAAGTGCAATTACTCACTCGTTCAATCTCCCTCAAGAATCGGCAATCGGTTCTAGAAGAACCTACGTGCTTATTTCAGCACCAGACACCAAAAAAAAGTGGCATTGCAAGATAGGTGGTGTGCATGTAATTTCATCTTCATACATCTATACGAATAACTATTTAAGATATTTAGCATATATTCAAAGGACCTTCCAAATTAAATAGATAAAGAGGATTGAGTCAATAATTTTAGTAGGAATCTCTTGAACAAGTGACTCCTGGCTAAGCGGATACGGGTTGTATCCTTGTTTTTGTAGCTAATGAATTTAAAATTGATATTTTGGAGCATACAGCACATGAATATGAAAATAAGGTAGTCCAAGGGTACCGATACTGTCTTTGGAATTACCCAGAAATATGGTAACTTACGAGCTGTATACCCAGGATATACTGCCCTTAACGAAACGTCTTCAGCATATTGGAAAAAAAATGGTCTTGAGTGGTTTCATTCATATGTATTTCTTCTGGTAGATCGAGCTATTTTGGTTGCCAAGTAACTTATTAAAATATGCTTTAATCCTCTCAGTGTGTATCTATGATAAGTTCAAACTCAAGTAAATTAGAATTCAAGATATTCCTTTCTTATGCTGACAAAGCCGCGGAGACGAGCAAAGGAGATTAAAAGACTCGCATTATTTTGATCCGATATCAGTAGTATCTAAGGTTAGTAGAAAAACATTTCAGACAGACTGTTTCAAAACCTAGATGCACTGAAAACAAAATAGCAATCGTTCCTGCTGGTCCTCAACAAGGTAAAGAAAACTCCAAGGGAACAAAAACCGCTGGGATATCTATAGAAGACGGACGCCCATTGGTCTAAGAGACCGTTCGCTAATGTGTCATCACTCACTAAAAACTGCCCTTCCCTAAACTAATAGTATATACAGATTAATTGTAGCACCTGGACCCAAACACGAACAGTAGATACATAGTTCAGACAAGGTCTTATCTGGGCTTTGTAGATAGTGAGGAATGTGGCGAATTGCCCCGGTATATCTCCCATCGTTATTTCAGTTCGGCAAAGGAAACATAATAATAAATCCGGCATCATATTCTTGATTCTTGTTAATCATCTACATGATTTATACTTTGTGTAACAGTGGAAGAGAATACCTTAGCCGGCTTGATTTATTAGCCACTATACGATACCTTGCTTCTCCCGTTTTTGAACTAGAATTCATTAAGTGTACCTGCGCATGTATATCTTTATGATATCAGAACCATATAATTTTTATTGCGCTGTAAACGCAAATATGTAAAGTTTATTTATGTTAACGCACCCATTTTCTTATTGCTGATACTATTTGATATTTGGCTCCAGACTGTAAAGAAATAATGAAAATCGGTAACAGTATTTAATAAGTCTGTTCTGCTCGATAAAATAATATTACTGTTCAGCTTTGTATCTGTTTATGAATATACAGGGTGATTCAGAAGTCGTGACAAAAAATGAAACATCATATACAGTACCGCATTTTAAGGGGGGTGTTCTATGTACACTCTGTGTATTGGTCACGACTTGTGAATCATATTATGATTCCAATATTCGGTGGTTTTAGATTCTATGTATTGATCATTTCTGTGGAGTAAACAGATTTTGCGTACGACCAAGACAAAGTTTACTCAAATAGGAACTGAAAATCGTTCGTTGTTCGAGAAATTTGATAGTTTCACCTCCATTGAAGAACTGGCAGATCGACGGAAATGATTGACATAGTTTTTCATGCCACGTAAGATCGAAAAAGCACAATATATTATTTTCGAAATGATTCTCAATAGGAACTACTTCTCTCCAATTTGGCGTGGGAAGTAAAATGCTAAACGCATAAATTATCACTTTCGTTCCAGTAGGGACACATATGTCCTAGCAGCTTTTGATAAATTCCTGAAATGACCTCCTCGTATTTGAAATACCTCGCACTGGGACATATCAGTATTTTATGGTTGTGGGAGAATAATTTGAGATGTGGCAACATAGAGCAACAAAATGCAAGCAGTTCAACACGTGTGATTGTGTATACATCTAGACAGCGCATGTTTTAGTGTTTTACTTGCATTTATAGTGATCTGTTTCAAATATTTATTGCTGTTTTGTAGAAAGTCGGCAACTGAAAGCACAGAAGTAAGTATTTACATATAAATATAACACAATAAATTAATTTTTTTGACTGTTCCTTCCCATTATTTATCCCTGGCTCATATATGTCCCATCAGGTATTCATACCGGGACAGATGTGTCCGATTAGGCTTGTATACTCTCAACTTTTTCTTGTGTTACAGCATGAGTGCCAGAAAAAATGCCCTTACAGAGGCCGAATTGGAGTACTATGCTGAACACCTGAGTGAAATCGAGAGTGTGGGAGAAGCAGATGAGTCCGAGCTATATAGTAGTGACGACAGCGTGAAAGATCAAAATTTCATTCCATCATCTGCATCTGGGTCAGAAGGAAGTGATAGTGATTCTTGAGGAAGATGAAAACACTGATGAAGCAAAGCAACACCTGGATTCTAAAATTATCTTGTGCTCTACTAAAAACGAAAATTTTGTTTCTAGAAAAGCTATACCCCCTGAAGTAAAACCTACCATACAGTGTGACCTAAATCGTGGCAGTACTGAATTGAACTGCTTTCTAAAGGTCTTTCCAAGATGTCTATTTCTTTATATTGCCCATTGCACAAATCAAAGGCTAGAAATTCACGAAGAAACTATAAAGAAAAAAATTGAAAAAACCAATGCCAAAGAAATTATGCTAGTAACTGGTGTGTGTTTGACTATGCATTAAAATAGAGTACCAACATTTACAATTTATTGGTCAAATAATTCGTCTCTTGGTAACGAACCAATAAAACGCGCTATATCTAGGGATAGATGTCAACTACTTTTATCAAAGTTGTATTTCAACGAACCTGTGATTGATTGACAGGGTACGTTTATGACCTGAACATTTATAGTGCAAGGAAACGGAGGTCATTGAAGAAACCCTCGGTGAACGTGTACTGAAAAAGCTGTCCTCTTCAATTTGTCAAACAAAAAATGTAGTTTTGTGTTTTGACAGATTTTTCACATGAGTAAAGTTGATGAATGACATTGAATTTGCTGCAGTGGGGACCTGTATGAGGAATTGTAAGGATGTGCCGAAGTCTGAAGGAAAACTAGCAAGAGGGGAACACCAAATTAGAATTAGTAATCAGGGAACTTTAGCTATTAGATGGCAAGATACTAAAGACTTTGTTTTACTTTCCAATTGTCATAAAGCTACAATAACTAAAGTTAAAAGAAAAATGAAAGACGGATCAAGTTCAGAAGTTCCGTGCCCTGAAGCTATAGAGTTTTACAATAAGTATATGGGCGGCGTGGACCATGCCGATCAAATGGTTTCTCTATATGATATCAACAGAAAATCTGCGAAGTGGTGACGAAAAGTCTATTATAAATCTCTTATGAAGGCGGTTCATAATTCTTTTATACTATTCAGAGAAACACATCAAAAAATACTACCTTCATTCAATATGTCGTAAAACTAGCGGAGTTATTGATAGCCCGTGGTAGAACACGTTTGAAACGTAAAAGGACCAGAAAAGTTGGCCGACACTCAGAACCATGCACGGATCCAAGTAATGTTGGTGATCATTTACCTGAGACAGGGCGTACAAGAAGAAGGTGCTATCGCTGCTTTCAAAGAAAAATTGAAAAGAGAACCAAACGCTTGTGCATGATGTGTGATTTACCGTTATGTTGTTTATACCTGAATTACGTAACCGTTGGGACAAATATGTCCCGCCAAAAAAACCTGATGGTAAATCAGTGTCCCATTATTTTTATAAAAACCTGTTTGAAATAAAAATTTATTTCACCAAATAACCTCTTTTTAGTTTATTTTTACATAGGTATACAAAATTTCAAAACAGTAATGTTAAAAAACAAATCCGGATTGAAAGAGTTATAAGAAACTTTTATTAGTTATAATATTCGCTGTTTTCATCGCAAAATTTGTCAGAAGAGAGATGCGTCGCACAACTGTTTTTCTAATATTGCAGCTCGAGCGGAAATATTCGGTAGCAAAATGTAAGCGTACGATAAGAAAAAGCGCAGGAAATCTGTAAAAATACCAACACTTTCAAATGTTCCCAATCCTTTGCAGGTAACGCCTTTTTGAGCACTTGGAGTGATGAGAGTTGATGAAGGAGATGAATGGCATTGGTAAGTTGAGAAGAAGAAGTAGCAGACAAAACAAAGTCTAATTAAAAAAAAATAGATGTTTGGTGGATACAAACTGTATTTTAAGGGATTTTGGGGAGGTGGAAGGGGTGATCCAAACAAACTGAAAAAAAAAATACGATTCATTTTCTAATTTTAATACATAACTTTCCTGCATACAGGGATTTTAAATTTCAAATATATTTTTTCCACACCTATAGCGACGCACTACCCTATTGTATATACTTCCTTTATTATCTCCAAGAAACGTATTACAATAGAGGTACAACAGAACCGAGTACCTGAACCAAAATTCTTCAATCACTTTTTCGTCCATTTGCCTATCTGAATAGCCAAATGTAGACTGGCAACCCAGACGTTGCCTTGGATTAGAATATTCGCTTTCGCATACGTCAGTAACACTACATCATCGAGCTTTAATAGCTCCCTTATCAGACACTTACATTGATGAATGTATCGATAAAGCTATATTGGGTAAATGAAAAGCAGCAATGCATACCCAGTAGGTGTATGGCTTCAGGCACGCAATGCTCGCAAGTTGAAGCTTGGGTGTTTATTGGAATTGTACGTGTTGTGTCTGAAAAGTACCCGGACTGTATTAGGATTATTTGCTCATATTTAGAGTAGTAAGTAGATTCCAAAGGCATTACTCTAATCAAACATTTGAAAATGAAAATTTAAAGAAAAGGCAGGCAATGATGTGTGCTGTCATCAATTATTTAATATATATCTACTCAAATCTAATATTCTGAAAAGCTCTATGGGAAACACCGGAAGGAGTGAATTTCGGACGAATCATCATTTATAAGATAGGGCTTGCAAATGATACCGCAATAATGAAGGATGATACAGATGACCTAATGCTTTTCTCAAAAAGTTAACGGATAAAGCAAAACATAGGGCTAACAGTTTACATAGTAAGACCTGATGCGTGGTACTCTTAAGGGCTCGACTTAACAACGCTCGGCTAGCACTGGAAGCTGGAAAGTAGAAAACTTCTATTTGATACAAGATGAAGAAGTTTTAGTTCGAATAGAAATACCCCGAAAAGGATTCCTAGAAAAAGGAGTATTAAAAAAAATAACCTTGGCCTTCAGATACTCGGAATGGAATTACGCACTGGTGACAGTAGAAGGCTAATAGGAAACTGCATGAGTGAGCGACATATTTCTTAACCATAAGTAGTAGTATAATAATGCGATGCAGAACTAAGATAAAAAGAGATAGATAGGAAAAAGGTCCTAGCTTCGTCTAAGAAAAGGACATTATAAGATCATTCTTATAAGTTCATAACACTCATTGATAAGATAAGGCAATGCTATGCTTGCGATGAAAGACGTATATAGCGACAAGGAGTGGTAGTCACTCTAGGAGAATATTTCCATGCCGTCTGTGATGGTAGAACGAGTCAACACATTATGGACTAGACAGTTCCACAATATCGTATATATACAGATGGATCTTCCTCTAATGAGACAGCTTCCGGAATACGTACGATGCTCCTCCAAGCAGATATAGTCCTCACTGTTATAACGGCTTATTTTGAACCAAATCACAGGTACAAATTTAAAAGCTTTGATGGTCAAGCAGCACGGAAGTTCGTGACAGCTCCTGGAGAAAATTCTAGTCCAGGAATGTGTCACTGCTCTTCAGCGGTTAGCAAGTTTTAACGAAGTGATACAGCTTTGTGTCCCAGACATTGTGGAACTGAAGTGCTAATCGTTTGGCTAGACTGAGAGCCAGCGGCTGGCACGTCGATCTGGGTTGAGCGTTAACAGTCCCGATGTGAACAAATCAAGAAAGTAAGAGCAAGAACAGGAATGGATGGCAAATATCTAAAAACAGCTAATCCAATCAGCCGTTCTTGGGGTAGATGCAGAGCACACTGGTCAAGTTTAAATTATATGTGGAGAGATACATTATTACATATTCTGAACTCAGAGCACATTTTTAGGAAACTATCCCAAGACTTCGATGTAAGTATCTCAATGAATGGAGTTCAAACTGAAGAGCGTGAAGTATTCTGAATATACATACCTCTGTCCCTCGCAGGTAAATAGAAGGCCTGCAATACTTGGGGCGGCAATCACCAACCTAGAAAATTCAAAGCTAAATTACTATGTAAACGAAATGTATAAGATTGATGACTTTAGGAGATTTCTGATTTCTGAATTATGAGATAACATTTTTCATACTGAGGATACAATGTTCTTAAACATTGGGTATACGGAGCTAATTTCACCTCGGATTTCAAATATCTTCAGCAACTGACTCAGTTTTGTATTCCCTTGGTTGGTGCTCGCCACCTTTAATCAACAAAGTTAGGGAGAAAGCTAAAGGCTACGGATTTGACAATATAAGTCATAAAGAAGTTCACAATCGCCTACGAGGAGGAGTGATTTTATACGTGGACTAAATGAGAACTGAATGGGTGTGACAGTACACATATTCAAGATCTATCAAAAGTGCAGTTTTTACGATAATAGAGTTAAAAAGCGACGACCTCACCTCATAAACAAATATGAGACTTCTGAAATGTTGTGTGTCCTCGGTGGTTCTGAAAGGTGTTGAAGCATGGACGATGAATGGAGAAAGAACATCAAAACTCCAGGATTTTGAACTGTGGCTATACAGAACTATCCTGAAAGTGTCATGTGCGGATATAGTCACCAACGACGAAGTGTTATGGTTGACAAGTACAACCCCACAGGTAGTAAACATCGCTGAATCTCGTAAGATTCAATACTTGGGGCGTATACTAAGGAACCAAGGCAGGTAGGTATGAGCTACTTCAGTGCATCCTACAGGGAAAAATCGAGAAAAAAGACCCAATGAACAAAAAAACTGGCCAGTACCTGGTTTGGAAAAACGTCAATACAACTATTTTGGCTAGCTATCAACAAAAATTTAATATCCAGAATAATCGCCACCATCGTGTACAGGAACCCTAAGAAGAAGTCCCCATATCATTATAGTCCTGTATAATTGGATATATAATAGCTAGTTTATACAGCATCTTAGTAGCCCTAGTCGCAACCACAGACATAAGTATGAGAGTTGAAATTCGTTTTTCTTGTGAATCCGTTTATTCAACTCGCATAGTCATAAGCATAAGCCCTTGTCACAAGCAGAACAACGTTAGCCTTGAAGTTCATAAGATTTAACCTTTGTGATTATGACAGTTATTGCGTTTATGCAAAAGTTGTTTAAACCAGCCCTAAGAAAGTAGGGAAGAAGAGAGGGATGAAGACGACTGCGAGCCATGTTGGCCAGCCGTAGCAAGTCCAGGATGAACGCCGGACGCTCGAGCAGTTGCAAAGATGATTGCTGAACCTTTTGGTGGCTATTCTCCAGCCAGTATAGTCTTAAGATAACATGTCGTTTATCATGTAAGGGTAGACCTAATGCTGGCCTAAAGTGACGATATGCTAAACAGTTTTATAGGGAAAATGTACATCTATTCGACGAAATGACCTTCATCAACAGATCGGGTAGGTTCGTGAAGGAGTTAAAAAAAAAGTTGCGTTATGTTAAAACAAAAGTACCAGGGGCCTAGTTGCCAGGATTGGCCTGGTATTATCACTGTTTACTGAATTTATGACACGTTATAGTTACTCAAATTAAAGTCGATTTGCATCCTGTCCATTTATTAAAGAAGCAACATATCTCACAACGAACGAGTGGTCTTGTAGCTAAGCCAATGTCTGTTTGTGTATGCCATCATGTCTACACTTTCAGTGTATTTCGTCGTTAAAACAGTAATAATGACATGGCAGTGGCGTGATCTTAAATTGATTGCCCAATAAACGATTTTTATGACCGTGTTAATTTTTTATCCTCTCTTCCATTTTCATAATACCATCGGCGATCGCATAAAACTAATAATAAAGTACGTTCTTGGTAACGAACGCATATGTAACTCGTAGTTGTATGTTATAGACTGCAACCAGGAAAGAGGTAAAGAACCCAGAGGGGTTCAGAATTACAGAAGAGTTGTCAATTTTTTTCTCGAGGCATGGAATGACATTACTAATATGATGTAAAACGGAATACAAAATATGAAAGAAATACTCACCACTCAGTACGAAGTTCCAAGTATCGTCCTATCACGTGGTGCAGAATGGAAGCGTATAGAAAACGGTGTGAATAGGCTCGTCAAGCCATAACAACTTCTTAAAATCAGTCATCGTAAAATAACATTCAAATTCGTAATTCCTATATGAGTGCTTTATTTTCAGTTCTTATAAGCAGCTTGGTTTGCCTATGCGACTAATTGAATACTGACGCGAGTCCTACCATTTCCCGTACTCGAATTAGCGAATGATGGAAGCACGGTCGCATTTGACATCTTAGACTTTTTGGAAATCCGACATCGCGGTTATCGTAGAACATTGATGTTGCCAGAAAAATTGCATATTTTTACAAAAGCTATATGCCGTGTATGCAAGAATTCCAACTCTAAAAACACTCTGTATTTTAATGTGCCATTGGTTTTGAACCAGTAGTCTACCACCTATGGACAATATCAACATCCATAGCCAAAAGAATACTTGACCAAGAGAAAAATTCCCTTGGGATGGGATTCGAAC